GAACGCTTAGCGGAGGGGGCAACGCGGTCTACGAAAACTCTCTATTGTCAGTGAGCGCAGCCCAGCCGATGCACGCATTACCTTTCCCCTGTCTTCAGCCGGGTTCTCAGCCGCTGCTACCTGCCCCGAGTAATTCAGCACACACGTCAACGCCAGGAACGCAGCGAGGTGGAATGAAATCCCCCGATCATTCGAAGGCAGCGTCATCGTCGTTATCCTCTTTCGGCCCCGGTACGGGCGACGTCTCCTCGATCGCTCGAATCGAGGAAGCTCGCTCTCAAAATACGAAGGGAAAACATCGGAGTCCTCTTCGTAATGTTGATATTTTAGCCGAACCCAATCCGACGTGGAAGTCCTCTTTGGAGATCGCGGCAGCTAAGTGCACGACGACGCGTGCACGCCTTTTCTAAAGACGGGCTCACTCACCCTTTAAAGACGAGCGAGCGGATCAAAAGCCTGAAAAGAATTCGTTCTTATTATTTTTTTTTTTATACGCAGTCGAAGCATTTTTGAGTCACGCGTTCCTCGACTGCCCCCAGGTATTTCTTTTCCGCCCAGCCTTTCCTCCGTGCGATTCGCCGCTGAACGAAGAGCAAAATAGCGAAAGCTTCCTGGAAATAAAAGCGCCTTTCCCAATACTTCGCCGGCATGGTTACATGTGATACGCGAGAAACCTTTTCATCTAATGCTTTCTTTTTATTCATTTTTTGGTACGGCAAGTAAAAGATTAACGTATTCATGCACTCTCTGTCTGTGTGTTTGCGTGTGTGTGTGTGTGTTTGTGTGTGTGTGCGCGCGCGCGTCGTGCGTGTGCGTGCGTGCGCGTGTGCGTGCGCGCGTGTGTGTGCGCGCGTGTGTGTGTGCGTGCGTGCGTGCGTGTGTGTGTGTGTGTGTGTGTGTGTGTGCGTGTGTGTGTGTGCGTGTGTGTGTGTGTGTGTGTGTGTGTGTGTGTGTGTGTGTGTGTGTGTGTGTGTGTGTGTGTGTTTGTGCCCCCGCTGGCACGTTCGTTTGTTCGTTCGATCATTTCGTGATTCATCGTGGCCCACCTCGGTGGGGTCGGTGGCGAGGGATCCTACTTGAGAGCGGGTGCGAAGCGAGGACAAACATCGAAAGATGCTCGTCCGTCTTCTTCGTCTAAATCTTTCGTATTTCTGAATCTATTACCAACGCGCTCAATCCAAGTTCGCTAAAGCGGTGTGTGCCTTGTCCGGTTGTGAACTGACTATTTCTGGTACGTTCGAATACGAGGTTCAGCTGCCGCCCCCAATAGATTACATCGCCGCGAACCAGGGGTATTTGCACTGCGACGTGAGAGGCGGAGTCCGCCGGATAGAAAACTTTCAGCGCGAGCTGCAACGACGGCACGTCGTGACAGCTCTGGGCATCGGTCATTGCGCACCCAAATAATTACTGCATTCGCTCGCTGCGAAACTGTATGTTGTTGGCCGCTCTGGACGAACTGTAAAGGGAGTTCTTGTTTTTGTCATCGACTTAGCCTTCACTGGTGTCAAACTCAAGCTTCACTGGGTTTCCTGTGGCGTCCCAAACTTCCAGGGGCAAAAAGAAGTCGAGCAGCTCGGAAATTTTTGATTAGTCCAGTGGCCCACCGACGAAAGGGAAGGGGGGGAGGGGGGGTTCAAATTCCAAATCCCCCCGCCCCCCCCCCCCCCCCCCCCGTCCCCCAACCAGCTCTTTTTTTTTTTTTTTCTTATTTGACACCGACGATTGGCAGGGTGAAGGGGAAAAAAGACATTTCTGACTGACGGGTTGGAACCAATCAGAAATTTAGTCGGCTCACTTTACTCGCTTTCATCATCGGAGTGTTGGACCTTTGAGAGTAGTCAGCATACATTCGTAGTACTTTGTTCTGAAGCACTAAAAGCGGGTGCAGAAGAAAATGGTCCCGGAACAAGTGGTCCCAAGTGCAAGGCAGAAAAAAAATGGTCCCACGGTCGCAGTGAAAATGAAGTACACCGTAGTTAATTCACTGACTAAAATATAAACTCCCTCGAGTAAAAAAAAAAGGACAAAAAAAAATCTGGTGCTATATATATACAGGGTGTTTCAGAGAACGCAAACCAAATCGCCCCTGCGAAAACTACTCATCGCAACGAAAAAAGGCTTGTGGCGTTGTGGTCCTGGGCCGGTGGTCCATTTAAGAAAATGATTAAAGTCCGGGATAATTAACTCGTTAATTATTTTTGCGTAATTAACTTTTTTTAATATTGTGTTTAAGGGCATGGTTTAAATTAGAAAATTGCTCAGCATCATCGAAAACCACTAAACCAACAAATTGCAGAACGATAGAAGGCACGCGAAGCATTTTACAGCTTTCTGAAAAACCGCACTAATTCGACGGGTTTTTAAGTTTCGGTTTGTTATCGGAGCGCATCTTAGCCCCGGCAGCCCCTTTCCCCGTGGAGAGATAGTAGGGAGTTTTAGTAGACCGTGTTTCCCGCTCCGCTAGCCCTCCGCTTCGAAGAAACCGCCACTGCGCCTGCGCGCCGATGGCCTTGGCTGTAGAGTTCCGGGCAGTGGAGGGGCTGAGCGGAGCGGGAAACACGGTCTACTAAAACTCGCTAGTGCAACAGCCTCTGCTGCTTCGCGCGATGGCAGCGCAGCAGAGGTTGGTTTCACTTTCCCTTCGCGGGGCGCGGTGCTGCCGGGGCCGAGATGCCATGCACTTTAGAAGTCGTAAGAAGCGGGGCTTTTTAGAACACGTGTGGTTATAATTAGGGACAGCTTCATGCAGCCGGGTTATCCCGCGACAAAAATGCCGCCTATTAATCCGACGTCGCTCTGAAAGCAAAGGACCACCCGGCAAACACGGTAATATCTTCTTTTGTCAAACGCAAACTCGGAAACTTGCTGCGCAGACACATCTGGAGTGTCGCTCGCCTCAAATTCTGGAAACAAATAAAAAAACGATCTGGTTTGAAAATGCTGTCTTTTTTTTTTTCGGATAGGGTGCAGCTCCCTAAAAAGGGAAACGACAGCGTGTCTATAAACTACCCCCCCCCCCCCACACACACACACACACCCACACACCCACACACCGGGCGAAATGGGGAGTAGCCCATTGAAGTTGTACAAAACGAGGGCGGCTATGACTGGGTAGAACCAGAAAAGGGGCTATCTTGGTGCGTGACATGGCAGTCCCTGGAGTCGCTGAGATTTTGACGTTATACATGGCTTGCACGTGACGTCATTCAAAGAGCGCTCCGATGACCACCAGAGAAGAGGGGAAGAAGGAGCTCCCCTCCTATCGGGATCCTCCTTTGTGACTCACGGATTTGCACAGGCGTCGCTGTTCTTCTCCCGGAAGATTATAGATTACCCGTCACTCTCTTACAAAAGCAGCTTCTCTCTCCTCCTCTTACATGGTGGTCAAAAGTACGCGATGTGACGTCAATGCAAGCCATGCGATGACTTTCCTTCTCCATCTCTGTCTTATTTTCTTATCGCTATCTCGTTCTCTTCCACCCTCTCCAAATCTCTCTCTTTCTACATTTTCACATTCTCTCTCGGTCGTTCTTTCCGGCCCATCGAAGCACTAACATTTGTTGTGCCCCGATGCCGTTCATTCGCTGCAACTGTTTTCCGGGAGTGACTGCTACTGCCTAAATCAGAGTCCAGGATGAGCTACACCACCTAAGCCGCCTAAGCGACAGTCAAATGCAATGCTTACCTACTGCTCACACAAAAAAAAAGAGTCGAGATTTGGAATTAACGGACTTTGCATCAATACCGGGATGTGCAACTCCCAGCATTCGCGAACCGGTGATTAAGCAGATGCTATCGTCTTCAGGGGGATCATCTTATCAATCCGTCGGTGCCGAGCCTTTTCCAAGCCCTGAAGCTACTCGCCCGAATGACCTCGGGATCTACGCCGCAAGTTGGCAAGTGGAACTATTTCGTGGTCGTTCCGTTGCCCAAACTTGTAAGCTGAATTCATCCGATTAGATTACAATTTATAATTATTTAAGAGTGATGTTTTAAATGTTTTCTTGTCCTTCCCTGTGGGTATTTAGGTCGATGATTTTCTTAATTTTCGGGTTACTGGAAACACTAACAACACTACTAAAAAATTTTTTTACAGTGGAGCTGTTAAGGGTTAGTTTCACCAGTATCATGTCCGTGGACAAACAAATGTCGACACAAAACTCCAGACAGCTACCGCCATATATGAGGGACGGCGGCAACCAGACAACCGGCTTGACGGTTGTCTGATTGCCGTTGACGCTCATAGATGGCGGCAATTTTTCCAATCTGGTTTTCACCAGAGTAGAAAGGCTGAATATTTCTAGGCGTCGTCCTAGACGTCATCCTTGAGGTCGTCCTACACGTCGTCCTTGAGGTCGCTCTAGACATCGTCCTTGAGGTCGACCGAGAGGTTATCAAGGTCGTCCTAGACGGTGTCTTCGACGTGTTATTTATCAGCAAATCGCGGTTGACGGTGCATGAGGGAGAGGAGGAGGCGGCTTCATCAAGGCTTGTCGTTACCTTTCAGTGTAGAGGGACGTTAGGTTGCGCAAGCCGCCACCCTATTGAAAATATTTTTTTAGTACTGTTGACATAGAGTAATATAGTAAACTGAAAGAACGGACACGCCCCATAGAGTTCATTGTAATAACTCTATGACACGCCCATAGGGCCCAGCGGCCTACCTAGCCCGCCTGACAGCAACCGCTCCTATGCGGATGTTAGGAGACGTTACTCAGTTTCCGCATCGGTTTCCAGTATAGAAAGTTTCGGTTTCGGATTCGACGGTAGTTTCGGTTTCGAATTGGGCGCACCCCCCCCCCCCCCCCTCCCTATTCCTGCGCCCTCTACATGCCCGATCTCGGGTTAATTATATCCAGCAGCTCACCTGCTCTATATTTTTATTAACTGTCTTTAGAATAATATATTTGCTTTCTACTGTAAGACCCCTTTTTTTTTTAGTTTTACAGCACCCACGGTGTCCATGGCGTCTGCTCTACTTGGAAGCAACAAGAGCGTTTGGTTCAAAATCTCTTTATTTCGACCACATTCATGAACACATCTGAACAAGCAAATAAGATAGGAAGCACGTTATGTTCTGCAAGAAACTACTACTCTTATTATTACAATCAAATATAAAAGAAATATAAGGTATTCTTGCAAATAGAAAAATTTACATAATGATTTTTAACCAAACCGTACCAAACAGTTTTGGAAGTGAACAGAGTGAGCAATTACTTTTCCCATCACGACGGCTTACATATGAAAAGCAAGTGTATCGATAAATAGAGTGCGTTTATCATTACCAATCAGAACAGAACACCACACACACTACATACAGCAAGAAACAAATTTGTATGCGATTCAAAACACCAATTCACATAGCCTAAAACTTGCATCGGGCGAGACATGGCCGAACAATGAGCACATCTTTCGGAATGTGAGAAGAATGAAGACTGACACGCTGCAAAATGGATCTCAGGACCTAGAAAAAAATGTTGCTTTACAAGTGCAACATCTACAAGCAGGCACAACAAAAACCGAAAGCCAGGACAAGCTTAACACAATATCCTTGATCATGAAAATCAAAACAAACACAAAATCACAGAAAGGCATATGCTGCACGTGCCATGCTTTTTCATATAAGGCACACACCTTAATCTCTGACTGGAGCTGTGCAAAATGCCCCAGATATGTGAATAAAGATATCAATAAATATTCGACACAAAGTTCACACATGCAAATGTAAAAGGCTGCTTGACACGTAAAGATCTTGATCTTATACCGGGTGTTTCAGCAAAGACTGACGAAAATTTCTAAAGATTTCCTGTTCGAGATAAATAAAAAACTTTTTGCAGGAACAAACTCCCAGCCTCGGTGGACGTCTGGGATTGCAGAAAAAAACACTAATTACCCATCTAGTTAACTTTTTAAATACTGGTTTTCTGACCCATGTTGCACTACCAATTTTGAAGACACCCACCGGAAAGAAAGAAATCAATTTACAGAATTTAAAAAGATTGATAAATTATGGCCGTTCTTGACACAAATTCTAAACGTGGGCCCTGTTTGCGTAGAATTTCGATATCCTTATGGAGATAGGCCAAAATTTGTCTATGAATATCTCCAAGCCGGCTGGATCTTTTTCAGTTCTGTAAATTAATCTTGCTTTACCTGTGGGTGTCTTGAAATTTGCAAGTGCATCATGGGTAATAAAACCAGTATTTCGAAAGAATTAGTAAATTTGTGCTAATTATAACTAATTGGTATGTTTTATGCGATTCCCGACGTCCAGCAAGGCTGCTAGTTTGTGCCCGCAAATAGTTTCTTTTATTTCGAAAAGCATATTTCTAGGGATTTTTGAGTGCCTTCACTGAAACACAATATGCACGAAGTGAGACAAACATTTGAAGAGCAAGCTTTGCTACCCAAATAATAAGCACTACTTGCAGTTAATCAGAAAACCACTTCTGTCCAAAAAATATTTAGAATTAGCCGTTGAGCTTGTCCAGTTGCCTACCCGCCACTGAACAATGCAACCAAACTTTGTCCATGTTGGGGTTAATAGAATGGACGTGCCAACACAAGCGTATCCTACAAAACATATCCAGAAACCTGTGGTGGCATTCCTCGAAGCAAAGGTGAAAAGCACCCACACCTGAAAGTGTGTGAAACAAGGCAGCACACACTCCCCGAACATGAGCCATACGCTTTATTATGGCAAGAAAGTGATGCTCTAGCTGCTGAATGAAATTAAAAGCAGCCTCTGATGGTACAACTAGGTTTCCAGAGTTTACCAGGCACATGATATGCTTTAAGCATCAGAAAATATTGGTGGGACCTGGCCAGGTTACCAGACTCGTCCTTGAGTAGCCGGTAACAAACACAGCTCTGTGTCGTCTTTTCAAGGAAAAGTTTAATGAGATAGCCTCCAACGTAATAAGTGGCAGAATCGTCAATAATGTTTGACTTTATATCTGATGCCAGCTCAGAAATGTCTTCTAGAGGAGGGAAGTTCTCAACTTGAGGACATTCTACGCGGTCGGCAATTGAACTTTCATGGAGCGAAAATATTGACATTTTGTGAAGGAGGCCAGCCTTGTCATCCTCAACGTTTCCACTGTTCGAGAGTTGAAAGAGCCTCGTCATCCTCAACGTTTCCGCTGTTTGAGAGTTTAAAGAGTTTTTTTATCTCTACATGCTTCAGACCTAAGGTGAACTGGTATACATTGGGATCTGTGTTGCATCCCTGTTTTTGTCCGATTGTTCCGAACATGTTCTCGAGTGCATCTTGCTGCAGTCGTCGTGTAAGCAAAAACTGAAAGTCGTGGTTGGTTGAAAGGTCTCCCAGAACATTAGGATACCCTTTATAGTAATTTGCCACCCAGTCACAGTTTGGGGTTGGCTCCTACCCTGAAACTTCCATGTTGCCATCCACAAAAGCTGCTGGTGAAGGAAATCAACCAGCTCCGATTCACCTTTCAGAATGCCATAGAGCAACTTCTGCCCAGTCTTTTTGAGTTTTGAGCTATTTAGGCAATCAAACAGTTTGTCCATTCGATCGCAAAAGTATGCTGTAGCCATGGCTGCCGCAGGAAGCTCCTTGGAATAGACAAGGGATAGAATTGCTAAACACACTGATTCGCTCAAGACTTGTGTGGCACGCTTAATTTTCATATTGCTGAAAGGTTTCTGGAATATATGTCGCTCAGTCAGTTTTGGAGCCAAACGCAGTCTCATCTCGTGGTTTGAACGATAAAGTTGAACAATATACGTCCAGTCAACGACCTCACTTCCAATGCAAAGCTTGTGCGCTTGAAGGTTATTCCTAGTTGTCTTGATGAGGTGTGGAACGTCGAAGATGAAATAAACGCGTTCATTTTCAACTTCAAAAAATGGCTTTTGAACAGACATACCTAGCTGGTTGGCCAAGCATACGATGGACGATCCCTGATCGCACACGACAGCCTTTACTGTGAATCCAACAGCTTTAAGTTCCTGGATCAGTGAAATGAGGAGATTGCGGATGACAGAGGACGGTGTTGATGCGTGCCCAATAGTATATGCAAGAAGCTGCACCCACTTTTTAGAAATTCCAGAGAGCAGAACAACCAGGGCTCTGTCTGTAATGGTGGAAGTTTGTTCTGCACCGTCGTCGGTAAATCCATGAACAATATTGTGTGTGACATCATAAGTCCTTTTTGAGCACTATCTCGTCAAACATCAAAGTACACACACGATCCCGAGCGCTGCAAGACTGCGTTTGGGATTTGATGGAGGCCACGACACCAGGTATGATACCTGGAGTCATTTTTACGTAGACAGCCACCTTCGCAAAGAACGCTGTGTGGGAAGCGCTTAATGTGACGACAAGAAACGGTACGCCTGGGGACCATGAAAATTTAGGTGCTAGGCAAACTTCTTAAGCCACAGTGGGAACCGCTTTTGCCGTCCTTTGCACCTTAATTTTGCCTGTGACGAGATCAGTTCAAACACCTGTTCACTCACAAAAGGACGCACCATTTCGAGAGCTTCTAAAACAGATCGAGGCATCTGCTTCTGTTCCTTCCGCAGCCTTGCAATAGTCTTCCTGTAGCTAGAAACCTTGGCTCGAAGGTGCTTTATGATGTCCCTGAGTCGTCTTGTGCACTTGGTGGAACTAGGTGTTGAACGGCCAGAGCCTGTCAAAGACAATACAGAGTGTAAAAATAAATCAGGCTACACGAAATTCATACTGAGTACAACCCGCAATAAATGGCATTACTGTAAAATACAGAGCTTGCAGCCACATGACACAACAAGCCTCGCCCGCCACTTTTGAAGCGACTAAGAAAATGCAAATGACTACCACCTAAGACCTCTAACCCCGCCCACCTAACACGAACACTCCCCTCTTTCAGTTGTGGCTTCTCCGAGGACATCAGAGCAAAGTGGTCAAGCTTCACGCACGTGCACCAGTGAAAGAATCTCAGGACCAATCACAATATTCACTGAGGTCATGCAAAACTTGAACCATAGATAACAGGGCGGCCAAATTAGTGCAGTAAGCAGCGCAAATCGGAAAACCACACTTTTTTTTAAAGCATTTTACCATGGCACACATTGAGTCTTGCGTCAGCCACCATCTAGAGCCCCATAGTGATGTTACAGATGCCTCAGGCCAACATGGAAATGAGCGATTAATTAATGTCCCCTGAATTGCAACAATGTGCGTTCTGACTACAGAGGTACTGAACAGATTTTCGCAGTGCTTAATGACGTGGAGAGGCCAAGCCATAGACTCACAGGCGCCAGGTAACTCAGAACGGCTACCAGACGAAGATGGAGTGGATGGAGCGCTGTGGTCAAAGAGCTCATCAGGAGAGCTGGACACTGGCATTTGTTCTGAAAAGTGTTTGATTGTAAAACGCGAATGTTTGCAAAAAGAGAATTTGTGTAAGACATTTATTTACCATGAGCAGCAGTGGAAGGCGACGTGATGCTGTGATCCGCGTCGCAAAGGCTTGTTGTGGCTACCGGTACTGTTGAACGAGGTTTGCATCTTAGATATGAACAGCAGTTTTACACTAACTGATCTCACCATGAGCAGCAGTGGAAGGCGATGTGATGCTGCCCTCCACACCGCAAAGGCTTGTTGTGGCTACCGGTACTGTTGAACGAGGTATGCATCTTAGATATGAACGGCAGTTTTACACGAACTGATCTCACCATGAGCAGCAGTAGAAGGTGATGTGATGCTGCCCTCCATGTCGCAAAGGCTTCTTGTGGCTACCGGTGCTGTTGAACAAGGTTTGCATCTTAGATATGGACATCAGTTCTAAAATAAATGGGCTTATCATGAGCACCAGTGGAAGGTGACGTTCTGCGGCCCTCCATGTCAGATTCTTGTTGTGCACGAAAACGAAGCAGCATGTGGAGCAAACGCTCACACTAAACATGGACGTCAAAAGTCTACTTTGAATGGCGAAAGTCCAATCCTCTACTCTTGCCATATTCGACATAAACAGGGGCTGTATATTGCATTAGGTGTGAATCACCACTGACTGACACACACCAAACATGCCATGTCAGAAGTCATACAGCACTGACAGAACACTCGATTGGAGGACACAAATTGCATGTATTAATGCAGAGTGACCTCCGGCTGTAGTAACATTATTTCAACTAATTTGGGCTGTCATTGCCACTGAAAAGTAATGCTATGTTAGAAAGATAATCTACAAAACAATCAAATAACTGGGAATGCAACAGTTGCGTAGCAACTAATAACACAAAAATAAAGCCGATTTTACAATCGAGACTGGGCCAGGGAGCAGCATTAACATCATGCTGGCAGCAATAAACTAGAGCTGGCATTGGTTACAACAAAAATATAAAATTGGGACCTGTTACAATCTGCCAGCAAAGAAAAGTTATTACCTTCTGTTATTGCAGAGAGCCTACTTGTTTGCGGTCGAACAGTAGGGACAGCAGTTTTGGTGAGCCTCGTCTGTCCAGGATCCATAAAGTCCTTTGTAGTGAAGTGTTCACTACACATGCGGTAGCCCACATTGAGCTGTGTTGCGGTCTTTCCTGCGAGCTCAGGGCGTTCAGAATACCGTACCCATGTCTTCGACCTGAAAAAATCATTGTACTTACTACCTATGTTACATTCATTGAATGGGTGATATAAACTGCAAATGTGTGAGCCCTGCTCTTTTGCATATAGGAAGTTTTGAATGGCACTGCTAAGTGAAACCTTCGCGTTTCGCAAAGTTCACGGTTGTATATTACCTCCGATAGTTTCTTTTTTACAGTGCAGTACTATATGGGCAAACAAACAATGGCCATGTATTCAAAGCCCACCCGGTCATGCAACATGAAAGAGATCAGTGTCTTTGTATTCATGCTAAAGTTATATCAAAGAAATGTTTGGCCGGTTGTCATTTCATCACTTTATTGGTGTCATTTGCGAACTATTTGTGAAAGTTTGCTCTTGCTGAGAATATTTATTTTTTTACCCTTTTGTTTTTGTTAAACGTGGTGTGTAATAACTCAGAAAACATTATCTATCTAGCCCCGAAATATTTGGAAGTTTTCTTGACTTGCCATACATGCTGTAAAACGCTGTCTCTGCAAATATCTTTTCTCAGCTATACTGAGTGTTTGCTTCCAGAAAATGGTCCAAGGACTGAATCCAAATATATACGTACCTTGAATCACGTGGAATCCGGAAAAACTTAACACCTGGCTTTTTATTCGTCTTTCCATTGTTGGCGCACCAGAGCACGCAGCAGTAATTTCCGTAGGGCATCACCTGATTCAGCGAGGGAAAAAGCGACGAAGAGCTTAAAGTACATAATCTATTGGATCCGAGCTCAATGACACGTTCCTGTAGTTTATATCGAAGGCAGAAAACTATCGGCTGACGAAAAAATCAACGAAGAGTGAATCCGATCGGCGTCACAATACAGCAAAAACTTATCGCACGCGTGACGGATCAGCACAAGTGAGTGAAAGAAGTGTCGTGCCGTTCACGCTATCTTTGTGCTAACCAACGCAAAATACCGGGTGAAACAAGGAGACGGTAGGCTCTTTAAATCGACCGGAAAATTCGGTTTCTTAACCTATCGCGCTACGACTTTGTGCAGCGTCGCCCACAGATGGTGCATTTTTTTTGTAAAATTTGCAAAGAGCGAACTTACCTGAGGAAAAAGTAAAGAAAGAAAAAGGCTTAGCTCCTATGGAAACGCAGCGACGCCACCGGTCTGCAATCAACACGGCGCCGTTTTGCACGGTAGACAAGAGATGGCGCAACGAACGCCGCCAACGAATGAGCATACGGCGCCGAGAGCCAGCGTTTTTAGCAGACGATTTTTTCGAATCAAAAGCGACGCGCGTTCCTCAAACGGCGACAGTTGCAGAAATAAAAACAGGCGCGGTAACAACAAGCAACTGCAGCTCCTTGTCTGCTAAAAACGCCGGTCCTCGGCGTCGTCTGCTCGTTCGTTGGCGGCAGTTGGCGTCGAGACCGCTTGCGCCATCTCTTGTCTACCGTGCGAAACGGCGCCGTGTTGATTGCAGACCGGTGGCGTCGCTGCGTTTCCATAGGAGCTAAGCCTTTTTCTTTCTTTACTTTTTCCTCAGGTAAGTCCGCTCTTTGCAAATTTTACGAAAAAAATGCACCATCTGTGGGCAACGCTGCACAAAGTCGTAGCGCGATAGGTTAAGAAACCGAATTTTCCGGTCGATTTAAAGAGCCTACCGTCTCCTTGTTTCACCCGGTATAAAGTTGCAAAGAACTTACCTTCTGTTCAAAGAAGTAGGACCTGACGACCTGACGCCAATTACTGCGAGAAAACGAAGAACTGAAGCTGCTCGGCTACATGAAGCACGAACTCAACGTGAACGTTTCGAGAACGCGAGTGGTTATGCGTCCCCTCGTTGCTTGCGAGGCGACCGAACCGAAGAGCGTTGAGGAAGCACGGTGGGGAGCAGGGCAGACGGCAGACCATGCCAACGCCAACCAAGCCATGCGGAGACGGAGACGCCATCATAGTTCATACCAAGCGCCATACATCACGTGACTGCGACGCAGTATATGAAAACTATTCAATGTGGTTAAGTATGTTAAATATAACTAGGGTGTGAAAATTTTAAAAGGAAACACTTTTAAAGAAAATAATGGAAACCACATTACTCAAAAGCGCCGCCTGACGGAGGGTAGTAAAGGAGGTCAGGGTAGCCATGACAACGTGACACTGACAACCACACTGACAACCACGAGGTGTGCTCCAAGGTATATGTATGCTCGTTCATTCATTCGGTGTACTACGATCATGACCGTGGTGGTGACCGTAGCCTGAACACCGAGTACAGAGTATCACGGCATCGCGCCAACCCAGGCATGGCGGATGTCCGCGCGAAAGTACTACAATACGAGACGTTCCTCAACGAAGTACTGAAGGAGGATCTTAGGTAAGGAGCTCCTTTCTTTGTTGGCACACCTGCCTCTTACGGATTCGGTTTGATTCCATCATTGGCGCAGGAGATGTCTCGAAGAGCGCGAGAAAGTGTGCTCCAAGCTCTCAGAGTTGCTGCAGCTGAGGACAATCATCGAGAGGATTCAGGTCAGTGAGTAGCTGTTCTCGGAACATGCCTCGGAAACGTATCGAGACAATGGAGAACGTCCGGGATTCCAAAGGCTTTGCGGTACGCTTACAGTGGTCAGCGTGTAGCTTCAGTAGCTTCAACTTCTTCGAGCGCGGACCGGTCGCAACGGCTACTCGCCGATCCTGCCCCGATCTGTATACGTTAGCCCCCATGACCGTGCTGATTTCGCAGCATTGTGCCGACTCTTCTCAAAGAGTCTGCAGCAGCAGTCATGACAGCGGCGAACTCAATCCCCAATAAACTTGTTTGTTTGTTGTTTTCGTTTAGTTTTTATCTTGCCTACAGGTTCTAACCTGTATGCATGTGTTCGAAACTTGTGTCGTCCCTCGTTCCAGCTCGTTTTCTGCACCCTAACCTTTCTGCTCAGCCTCGCACACCACCAAGGGTAACCTCCTCGTACAATTAAATATCCTTATTTCATGGCAAATCAAAATCATATCAAACTTCGGTGCAGGTGCTACCATCTACCACACAATTGGGGCACGAAAAATCAAAGGAAGATGGATGGATTCATAGGGAATGCGTTAGCATGACCCTTGGGATACACTGACCCGTTCACTTTTCTGTTTGTCTTTCTCTTTTCCTCTATTTTTTGCTTCCTCTTTTTGGCTTCATTATGGGGTCAGTGTTAGCGTTTCCAAAAGAGGGACATGTGTGGTGTTTCCCAAGGGTCATGTCAACGCATTCTCTAAAGATCCACCAATGGATCTTCCTTTAATTTTTTCCAACTTTGGGTATTTCTTTTGCTAGGCACCGCTTCCACTCCTCTATCTCGTTTGTCCGCCTTGCACGCTTATACTCCGTTCACCCCTAAGCTCACAGTGCGGTGGAGGCTACGTGCTTTTTGGACCCGTAATACGTCTATCTTTACTGGATCCCACACCCAGTCATGCTGTTTTGAATAGCTTTTTGCCTGGCGATCCCTCCAGTTTTCTGGAAAATAAAGTTTTGATTTGATCTTTTGTTGAGTGATTGCGGTCCCACCCATACCCATGCACAGAAAACGGAGTGGGTGATGAAGGGGAGGTGGTTGGTTTGTCCAATGGGCACGTACCTTCCACCAGACTGTCAGCCTAGGGGTGAACAGTGTATAGCAGCAGCGTCCGCTGCTGCTTTCGCTGTTCATCGGTTTCGGCAGCCCGTCTCCTTCGATCACTATCCGTCTTCTTTTGCCGCCTACTTAGACCAGCGCTAGTACTTGGTTCACCCTCCATCTTGTAGCACAAACCAAGGCAGACGTGTTCTGCACACCTGCAAGTTTGGACTCGCCCCAGCATCCGCATGACAGGGAAAAGCTGTCAGCTTTTTCCTGTCATGTAGACATTAATGCTCACACATTAATAACAAAATTTAGGCTGTCCAAAGCTAACATTACGGTGTTTGGCACCCCAACAAGATTTACTTCCATGGTGATGTGCAACCTACCATAAAATGATGTTCTGTCTTTCATATTGTTTTACTCTGCAGGAAGTCCAGAAGAACGAAGAGACATTTCGGACACAGGTGGACCTTGGTTGCAACTTCTATGTGCAGGCAGTCGTGTAAGTGGTATGTCACACTTCTTAAAAGAAAAAAGCGCGGAAGTGGTCGTAAGATTTAAAATTACACAAAGGGAAGCTCGAGTTTAGTTGCACCTACCAAGAAGTGGAAAACACTAAAACAGGAAGGTGTAGCCTTTTTAGTTGGAGGGCCAACTTCTGGGTCATACATCATGGCACGGACCAGTTCCAATTTGAACCTCGTTATATTTTGGTGATGGGGAGGGGTGAATTATGAGAAACGATTTGTGATAAGAGTAGCTTCATGTCCACTTTCTGGCATGTTAGGAACATCTGTTCAGTAAGAGTTTTGCTTCTTCGCTTCCTCTGCCCTTTTTTGTTCAGTGCTAGTATAGAAAACGACCACTCCGACGTGACATATATGAACCATTGAAAGTTAACATGCAAGATAAAACCAAACGTTTTCTTACAAGTGTACAAAAGAAAAAGTTGATTGTAAACATACACTGCATTTTCTCAAGTTTTGATTCTCGCGTTGACTAACTCTCAAGGCTGATGAACTCGACTCTATGCTTAGTACCAACTCTGCCACATTACAAGGTGTTTCCAAGCGCTATTTGGCTCCAAAAATTAATTTTTAAAAATATACCAATGAATGGAGTGCATTCAAACTTTTTGCATCGAAACTAATTTCTGTGTAGTTGGTATCTATGGCTAATCACTGCCAATTAGTGCCAGTTCAGAGTAACGAAAAAGAGATATTTGTTGGTTTTTGGAAGTAATGGTGACAGTATTTCGTTTCATTTCAAGGACGGTAACGAATCTCAGTGGCGCGTTAACTTTTGATGAATAAACTAACGACACTGTTTCGTTACTTATTTTCGGCACCTGCAGGCCAGACCCTTCCAAGGTGTGCGTACAAGTCGGTCTGGGCTTCTTCGTAGAACTGACGCACGAGGAGGCACTCTGGTTCGTCGGCCGACGGGAAGTCGTGCTTGAGCAGGACCTGAAGCGACTTTCTGAGGACTCAGCCAACATCAAGGCACACATCCAGATGACTCTGCAGGTCAGAGGAAACGCTCGCCAGAAGCTCAGCATTACGTTGTTTCTAGACCTTCCGTCTCTCTGCATTTGCAAGTATAGGCTGGTTCACGCACTGGTTCCATCTATTGGATGGAACATTTGGCATTTATGTATACTTCCTTCGCACATCATTCTTTCTTTCTTGGCTCAAAAGCTTTCGATAATGCTATAAACGACCGTTCCTCGTGGATAATACATAGATTTCATGTCTCGAATACCGCCAAACCTTCGCTCTAGTGGAATGCAGTTCCAGGGTCACCTCATGGATGGCGCCAGCATGCCTGTGTTCTTGTCCTGAGAGATTGCAAGAACTTGGTGGTAAGCGGACGCAAGTGCGTAAACGGGCCTTAATGTTTAATGTCTTTGGGCCCCGCCTTTTCGCCTTGCCCGATAGTCGAGCTGCGCCAAGGCATGCCCACAGTACTTGAAATAGATTTTAGGCGGGGCTCTTCGCAAATGTGCATGTTTTGATCATGGTTTTCATTGCTCGTTATGTGCTTTCACTGGAAAAATGACTTAAAGCTGCATTATAGAAGTGTGTGGGGCAGAAATACCATACTGCTAGGAAATTTATATCGGGCAATTCAAACTTTAGCTCGAGTAGTAACCTACTAAAAAATAAAGTTAGATTTGGCTTCATTATCCCACAGAAGACGACAATTATGATTAAAATTTTACTATGGCATCTCTCATAATCGCCTTGGAACGGTCAAACCTGATCATTTGCTAGCTCCCCACTTCGCATCGGGAAGGCGGGACCATGCTAAGAAAGTGTACACATAGAACAGATACATTCGAGTAATCCTTCTTTCAGTCTACAATGACTCGCCACCCGAAGAAATAATTCCCGTAACGTCTAAAACCGAATTTTTCAATGAGACGCTAAATTCCGTTATTGTTTAGTCAACCCAGAGTCTCTTTCATGCCTCCGTGCAAGAACCGCGTGACTTTACATTTGTGTCTCGCGTGCCTACGTGTCATTGCCTCAGGCACCGCGAGGCAATGTAAATAAATAGATAGAGCGACGACTTTATGTCTAAAAGGGGCACTTGACAGTGGTAAACTCGCCAACTCGGGGGGGCGGGGGGGGGGGGGGGGGGGGGGAAGGGTTGTAGGAAAACTGTAAGGAGAAATGTGCCTCAAGGGCTATGTCGATGGACTTACGGGCACAACTGTGCCAGGTGCTTTGATTAAAAGCCCGTCAACACACTCCAAAAAAAAAAAAGATTGGGTTGTGTGTGTGTTTATACAGCCTAGAACTTGGTCTGCCTCACAGGGGCGACGAGTCTCCCAGCTGTAGATGAGAAATTTAGCCAGTGCGGTACAGCCGATAGCCTGGGGTCTTTAACGTGCATCACGCAGTAGTGATACACGACCGCACGCCGGTACGATGCTCATCCAGATCGAAACGGGCAGGGGTGGGGCTCGAACCCAGGATCCCTGGGTTCTGCAGCGCGAGCTTTTGCTCCACGTGCTCCGAGCTGGTGTGCGCTAGACCACTCGGCCACCGATCCCCCTCGGCACACTCCCATTTGCTTAGGGCCGAGTTCTCGCAATCTCTTGCGACGAGAGGACACCCCGACACGCTGGCACCGTCTGGGAGGTGACCCTAGAACTGCATTTTGCTAGAGCGAAGTTTTCACGCTATCTGAGGGATCAAATGTTCTGTTCTATATAGGAGAAAAGGTTTTTTATAACATTGTCAAAGGTTTTTCGAACCAGGAAACAGGAGCCAGGAAACGAGATACGGAAACTGGATGGTGTTTCACGGTTACCCGATGGGTGGTGTCAGTGTTCACTCATCGTAAGTTATGGCCCGTTCACACTCTTGCAACCGAGTAAGACCGAGAGAGACCAGACCAGTTTTTAAGCCTCTTGCGACGTCTTAGTACCGGATGCGCTGCTGCGAAGCTGGTTCTAAGATGTCGTAAGAGGCTTAAAAACCGGTCTTGTGCCTCGGTTGTACTCGGTCGCAAGAGTGTGAACGGGCCTTTAAGGCAACTCTGCTCAATTCCGAAAAATTTAGGCTTACATGTGATTCCATTTCACAAAGCACTACTAAACAACTCTACGTTTTCGGATTCGCGAAATGTGAAATATTATTTCTGTAATCCTAATTTAAACACCAGCTGATACCGAAACCGAAACTTCGGTTGCATCAGGCAACATTGGTCTCGTGTGGTCAGAGTTATGGGCACGTCACGTCGAACCACGTGGTCTTGTGACGTTCGGGAGGGGGGCGAGGGACAGGACACGCGACGCGCGCAGGTCGCTTCGCGTGGCGTGGACGGTGACGGCCCGGGCGAGAGGGGGAAGGGGGAGAATACGAAAGAGAAAGGGAGCGGAGAAACAGACCGATAAGCGCGCAGGGCAGCGCAAACTAGCGCATCCGCGTTGCGGTGATCACGTGAACACCCGGTCAGCCAACACCGGGAGGAGAAACTCATGACGTGATCGTTCAATTTCGCTCTGAGAAGTAAAAACAAACAAAACGTGAGAATGACGTAGACATGCCTCTGACGTAGTGGCTCAACGTTTGCCGCTCCAACTCCGTCGCATTGACTGCGCTGACGATTGCGCCTCGCGTCGCACGCTAGAGTTGGCAGATTTCGGCGACTTGGCTCACTTGAAGGTTTGCTGGCCAGTTTATTAAATATATAGACGGAATTAGATCGTAATATTTGACATGGGGTCTTTTTATGTGATACTGAAGAGGGCTACATAGTTTTCTAAATATCAAAAATGAAGCGGAGTTGCCCTTTAAGGGAGACGGTGGTAAGCAGTCACTGTTTGAACCAGCCTTAATTAACACATGGGTTGCCACACCCTCTCTGCAATTGTACTCTGAAGATTTTTAACCATTCTGATATTCGTGTGAATATTGGAGGCTGTCGAGGTTAAATTCTGCTCTTCCTGGGCAATTTATTTTTTTTGTCAGCTTGTAACATTTTTTTTTTTTTAGTTTTTTGACCCCTTGCCATTGAAACAGAGGTTATGTCCTTAATTTAAGGAATTTAACTTTTTTTTTTCTTTTTTTTACAGTGCCTAAGGGAGCTCCAAGGCCTGCCGGTGGAAACTGATCCCCCAAAGCGGAGGGATGTTTTCTGAAGGCTCTTCTGCCACTGTACATACTGTAAGAAATACTTTTGATAATAAATGCCCGCCAACAAAGGGTTGGCAAATGCCTGGCGCTCATCAACATTCGCTTCATTTGGCCGACGCTTTTGTCGCACATTCGGCGACTCCAAAGGGTTTAATAAGGTTTTGTGGCGCGAGGGCCAGATTCGAACAAGGAGGAACGTCAAAAGGAAACTCGAGATTTTGCCATTGTTTCCCGCACGAGCAGTTTCTTAAAGCCAGCGAGTCATGATATTTGTAAATTTATTTTTAAGGGGGTATATAACCTCAGAATTAAAATTTTTCAGAAAAAAAGATTTTTTTTTTTTTTTTTTAAATGATATGTTCATGTTTGTGAATTCCAAAAAACGGTTTCAGAAACTTTTATTTTTAATAATGCCGGATTTATCTCACAATAAATTATTTTCGGCATGCTGGTGGCAGCCCTCCGAGTCAGCAAGGAACAAGTCTTTCGTTTTTGATTTAGGGCTGCTCAATACTCGTTTTAAACATAGCCAGAACATCTCGCCCTCATTAGAAGCGCCATTTACTCTAGATTTAGCCCGTAGAAGCTTTCCAAGTTTAGAAGTATTAATGGCCAGGACAACCCCATACATCCAAACAGAAACAATCCTGAAAATTTGGTATGAGCAATCTTACTGGTTGAGACCTGAAACAGGGTTTGCGATTGGCCCTGCCCGGCGACGTGATATTGTACCATCTTCAGTAACACCCTTTCACAGTACCTTCCACTTCAGGTCATATTCCTGCTTTGCTGCTCTTCCTTGGTGTGATTTGCCTCTTACCATAGAATACCGCACATCTGCCCAGTCCACATTAAGAGCCCATCCCCAAATTTGTAAGATCTGAGGAAATACACAGAGTACATTTATGTGTAAAATTGATGACCAGAGAAGCGCCCCATACCCCATTCTCTCGCAATTATTTCTAAATTTTAAGTGGGCGCTTGCCCGGTATTTTATAATTATTCTTGCCAGTTTATCTGTCAATGAATGCCTGCTACAAGCGTTAGCTCGCCTACAAATGAGACAGGGTGGTAGCTATTGCCAGGGGAACTACAAAGGCTCAAAGAGGAAGGTGCTAACAATGCTTCAGGTGAATTTTGTGTATCTGGGACTCGTAAAAACTATAAAAACCTAAGTTTAAACTTCAAATGCATTTCTCTCTGTTTCACGTTTTGGCAGAAAATGTGGTATGAGGAAAGGTATCATTGTACATTTTGAAAGTTTAAAGACTTCATTCAGTGGTGTCCTGGACTGAAATCTACTGAGGGACAAGTTAAGATACTCATAATCTGAAAGAGCTGACTTCTTCATGATGAAAACTAAATATTTCAAAACACCAAATTTGTGAATATTTTTTGCGCTTTTTGGGTGTTGTTTTTCTATAAGCTACATGTTCTACAATTAAATTTCACCTTAACTTGCACTATGGATATTCTACTTCACATTAACACAAAAATTTTCTGGAATGTAATTATTATTTACTTCTAATACATTTCCTAACAAGGTCGCTTTTTTCTAGAGCTTGTTAAGCGTAGTATGTTCTAAAATTCGCCTGCAAGACAAACTTTAGATGTCATCATTCCTAATAAAGTTCAATTCAACCTGAAAGTTTGAATCAATTTGAGGGAACGGTTCAAAAGTTGACCCTCCCAGGCCATGTACCCCCTTAAACAAAATACGCAAGTTTTTATGCACCCCGGAACTATTGGGCCTCCCCTGGTGGAACGGCAGTTGACCCCCTGTGGGTCCAATTTAGACACTCCACGGCCCCTGTGGGACCTTACCTACGTCGGCCCGATATCGTGTCCCATTCTTGCCACGGTCTCCGCACGACACTGCGGGTCTCAAACTTGACACTTTATTCTCTTCTTTTTTTAAAAAAAGGGTCCATCGTAAGGAGAGAGGGGTGCTCTTGTGTGGCAGGATGGGTAGCTATGGACACGGCAGGTCCTCTTCTACTTCCAGCAGACGTGGTCCGTACAGCAGGACGTACGCGGTGTGCCAGTCACCTGCGCGCAATATATTGGTCTAAGGTTACTAACTCATCAATGAATAAAGGGGGGGGGGAGGGGGGGTTCAGGGGCAGGCTATGGCAGCGCGAGGGTTCTAAAAGGGAGAAAAAAACAACCGCATCTCCACATGGTGAACGATGTTAATTGGGGCGAAGCTCTGGCGGTGCTTGTCTGCGTAGACGCTGAGCCGCAGCATGCCGAGCCTTTCGTTCGTTTTCATCGATGTCGTGCTGCGGTCAAATGCTCAAATGCGTATATAACCACATTTCATACCACACATTCTCTTTCTGACTTGGATGAAAACGAATGAAATGCTCGGCATGCTGCGGCTCAGCGTCTACACAGACAAGCACCACCAGAGCTTCGCCCCAATCAACATCATTCGTTACGTGGAGATGCGTTTTTTTTTTTCCCCCTACACGAGCACACGCTCACGTGCTCGTGAGCATGAGCACCCGACGCCGAACATCGGACGGACATACGGACATGGCTAGCCATTAAGGAGCTTTGCCCCTAAAAAGGGGTTTACACAAACAATGATGATGATAACAGGCGCTGCCCGGTACCAGTGTCACCCCAATTCCAGGCTTGCCGTAGCTTGCGTGCTAAAGTGGTTAAAGCCTCCCACAGCCAAGGCTAGCCACCGCGGTGCGATTCGTGCTTTGCAGCGTGACGCGCATTGTTGGGCGTGCATTGTATCACAGAAAATTTTTAAATGGACGGTCTGGATCGAATTTGGGACATATAGCTGTCCCGACAGGGACGACGCGGGACTCTGGATGCTTAGTAAAAAGTCGGGACAGTCCCGCAAATTCCGGGACAGTTGGAAAACCTAGGTGGATCAATGTCTCAATGGGGTCACACATAGCCGTGCGCTCGTAAATCAAGAACCTTTTTTAACGCACATGCTGGAAGATGTGACTTTTCTCGCCTCGAGCTTCCATATACAGTCACTGTATACGACAGCTTTAGCCGCCAGAGTAGCGACACGAAGCGAAAAAACCTAGGTCCACAATGTCGGAAGCCCCAATGCGCTCTCCATCTTGAGCCTGAAGATTAGCACGTTAACAGTGCCACTGGGGGCCTCTTTATTAGTATGGCTTGTTTTACCTCTCCACCCCATTCATGGAAATGCGGTATAAGTTAATAGAAGTGAGTGAAATCCGCATAAAAGCATGGTTCGCTTACCGGGATGGGCATATCCGAATACGGGTGCCTCACTCACCAAATGTTCAATGCACGCGGGGACACGCACTGACAATTTCAACTGCGCGCTTTTCGAGAAGCGAAAAAAGCAGACGACAGCTACTCGGCAATTGTCGGCCTCGACTGGCTCCGTTGGTTGTTACAGAAACCCGTTGCTACGGTACTGCGCGGGACCAACTGCAGCAAGAGGTGGCACAGGAGAAAACATAGCATTCTACCAACTAAAGCCGACTACACAGAGGCTCCGGTTTTATCAGACAGCGACCATCTTGTCTTTGCAGAGACACTTTTCGTGCGCAAACGGAACGGCAACTAGCCACCAAGCGGACATTAAGCAATTTTTTTTGTCTCAGCTGAATAATGCTTGTAACATCTCCAAAAAATGCTTTGTTCTAATGGACAGTCACATGTAAATAATCACTACAAGATCAAGCCACAAGCAGCTTTTTTCAGTTTTGGGTAAGTTACTTTCAAGTAGTAGTGCTTTGCAGTTGCTTTCAGATAAAAGTAGCAAAGGTATTGTTACAGTTACTGCAATAAAAAAGTAATTTGTCACAGTTTCTTTTAAAGGTAATGGCATTACTTTTAAGTTACTTTTTCATAAGACTAAACATTATAAAAAAATTGAAGGTCCCTTTTATTACAGAAAGTGCAAGAAAAGTTGGTGCAAGCTCGCACAGGGTAAACGGGACACTCAAAATGTAGGAACATGTCATTTCTAAAGTCGAAGGAATGGCTAGATTATACTCATTCAATAATGATACAATGCCAAAGAAACTGAAAATTAATGCCATTACTCTTGTAATTTCTTCAGAAAAAATAATAGAACAATGGTGACAAGTTACACTTTGAAAAGGTAGCACATTAAAGTTTAAAGTTACCAAAAAAAGTAACAAAGAGTAAAGCGTTACTTGTAAGGCCTTTAGGTTACTTAGTATGTACACTGAGTTTCCCAATGTTTAGAGCTCTAGTAATTGCAATAATCAATTTAAGAATGTTGATCCTTTTTGTTTGGCGACCGAGCAACACTGTCCAAGTTAGTCACACCATGGTGCCCATAAACCCCACGTGATCATATTTAGTCAAACGCTCGCCTTGCCATGGTACAATCGTACACTGCCATGCTACTATAGTCCGTTGCAACCTAAGAACGAAGGGAGAGGGTAAGACTGGTTGGGGAGGAGGAAGCAGGCGGAACGCTAAAGAGAGAAGGAGGTTTCCCCCTCTCTTCTCCAGCGTTCCGTCTGCTTCCTCCTCCCCGGCCCGTCTTACCCTCGCCCTTCGTTCTTAGGTTGCAACGGACTATAGGCTACTCCAATGCTATTCTGCTACTCTCGTTCTTGCCTTCTTACTCTTTGACCTTCTACCCTGCACGCACGTGCGAGATCGTCACGGATGATGGTGAGTTTGTCCATGACCATCTTGTCATCATTGCTGGAGCTGGTCGCTAGCGGGTCGAAGCCAAACGACCACCTTCCGACATCTCTCAATAACAATCCCTCTCACCGCTGCTGCGATCAGTGTTGAAGGCTCCGACGAAGCAAGTGACGCTGTAGACGTCTTCGTCTTGAAACTGTGTGCTCAAAACGCACAGCGTAAACGAGGAAGCTGAAGGCAAGACACTGAGAGAGCCAAGTCTGCGAGTGCGTGCAAGTGGACACCGCGTGTTGGCCGAATGACGTCACCGACCCATAAACCATGGCAGCCTTTTCAAATGGGGCAGATCTCAGGGTCCAAGACTTATCTACAAAACTATCGGGCATTTTCAGAACAAATTTAGCAAAAATTTAGGAACATGCAGTGGGTCCTAGCACTATTGTTATCTCATATTTTGATTTGGCGCGTCCTAACCCTTTTACGACCGGCTTCGATGTCATGGATTAATGCGGAGCTCAGACATGCTGAAATGACACCCAAGTTAGTGAGAAAGTCTACTAATTGGAATGGACAATCGAGACAATCTGGGTGCTCTAGGGGCCAGAACCCATGCTCCGGGTCGGCGTAAGTTTTCTCCCGGGATCCAGGCATCTGTGGCTCGCCACTTTTAGCTGCAGATGTCTCGAGGTGGAATAGAAAAACAAATCTCCAAGGGCACAATATACTCTAGCTTCTCCTAGATTATTGTGCGCTCGCAGATTACGAAGAAAAAGACACAAACGGCCTACTCGGCCGCCTCACCTCCTCCGGAGAGCTTGAGGATCTCGTCGGCACTGACCAGCGACACTTTGTCGTCGTCGCACTTGAACCACTCGTCTGAAACACGAGCGTGAAGTCGAACGGTCAAGATCGCTCCCATCTGCAAATCTTAGCAACATTCAACGTGCGCCATCTCCGCAAATCTCGTTGCCACGTTACCTCTACAGCAGCTGTTCCTTAAAGCCGCAGTCACGCAGCTGACAGATGATATGAAAGACACTCTGCTGCCACTGTCTGAGGCATGTTTTTTCTTTGTTTGATGGTGACACTGGTCGTACAAAGACCGTCGGCAAACGCGTTCAAAGCACACATACGTAATAGGTTGTCTGCATGGAACGTGCTCGAGGTATGTCCCCAAATAATTCTGTCACAACATCTGCAGTGAACACCGTGTCTTTTGTAGGATGTGTGAAGACCATGACTGCGACTTGAGGTTTCTGCTCGGAAAAATGAACCAACAATCATCTACGAGCCAGTGGAGCCATGAACGTGCATTAACTAGATAGAGATTGAGACAAACAGTTTAAATGGCCATGGCAGCCCTGCACAGGGATCGGGTCAGCGAGAGAAAATAGTGAAGACGCCGTTCCCAGGTAATGCGCATTAGCCGCCTTCAATATTACTTTCTCGGCCGAAACTGGGTCTTAGCATTGGCGCAAATTTGGAAATATTTCGCTCCTTAGGATTTTATGGAAAACAACTGTACCAATCCTTCCATAAATTTACTACCGTGCCACAAGAAAAAAAGAGTTTGTTTGTAAACTACAAAGGCATTTCAGGCACCAACTCATTGCTGAATGCACTGTTGCATGCGAGACACTGCGTGCAACAGTGACGGGCGTGCAGTTGAAACGCCCAGTCTCAAAAACACCAGCGCGCGGATCGTTTCCCTCAAAGGCCAGTGAACACTTCTGTGAAAGGCGTCAGAATCTGTGTCTACATTCTGGAGAACGAACGTAAACACCGACAGCATTCGTGGGAAACCTAGATTTCCCGAGGCTAAAGCAAACTATGGAAAGCGAGTTCATTTTGTAGTTTTAGCAGTCAGTGAACGGACCTCGTGGCCCGTAGCTATGGCTGTAGCAAATCGTATAGCGAGACAAAGTACAAGGTGTCCCCCCAAAAATTTACTGGACTTTTTTTACCGCAAAGATAAACTACACATCGCCGAACACTAATTCTCCACCCAAAGGTGGCGCTGGCAGTTCGAACCAGATTGCAAAGCTTCGGAACAAACCGATATCCTATTCCAGGGGTTCTTAAACTTTTTGGCCTCATAGAACCCCAGGAAGCCTCAAAAACTGCCGCAGTACCCTCCCCTCCCCCCACTTCCCCTCCATATTTGCTGACCGAGAAGCAACAGATGCTCAATTGTAGGCAATTTTGCTTGTGTTGCTTCCCATATATCCCCACCATATCAATCGCAATGTCAGTACAAAGTGCGATGAAGGCGCTTTGCATGGTCCTGCCGCGTAGCCTGTGGCAATGGGGGGGGGGGGGGGGGGGGGGTTGCAATTAGGGTGTTCGCGGAACCCATGAGACCAGCTCGTGGAACCCCTGTGTTCCCCGGAACCCAGTTTGAGAACCCCTGTCCGATTCAAAAGCTATCAGTGATTTTCGGATATTTTCAACTCGAAAATGGCAGCCAACAAACATTTATAACTTTAAAAAAAAATAACGGTTACTTCTGAAACTTTTGCATCTGGTTGAAACTGCTAGTGCTACATTTGGGCGGAGAATGAGCGTTCGGCAATGTGTTGCTGGTGTTTGCGATGGAAAAAAGAAATGTATAAATTTTAGCGGGGGGGGGGGGGGACGACGACGACACGCTGTACAAAGCACGCCCACGCCACATGGGGCACGCCCACCTTCTTTCCGCCTGATCCAGGCGACGTAGTGTCCCGTCGACGTAGACCTGCCCTTGTGCGTCAGCACCGCCTGGAGTTCGTAGTAACCGCTGTTGTTCGAGCCCGGGTCTGGGAAGAAAACAGCGCCTTACCGTCAGGCCGTGGCTGCAACACGTTTCCAACGCCGCGCAAAAGGACGGCGAAGAAACCTACCGTCGGGGAAGGAGTAGGGCTCCTGCTTGGTCCTCTTGCTGGAGGGAGTAGCTTCGTCCGGATGCTGCAGTTTGAGCTGCAACGCAAGTTCAGACACGCACTCTCCTCACGCATCTACACAGGCCATTATGGTTCCATACCACCCGTGCACAAACTTGGGAAAGTAATCCGTTACAAGTACCGGATTGCTTGGAATGCGTTGCTTTTTCAAGTAATTTCGTAACTGCTACATTCCTTGTTTGTGGCAGTATTTTGTAATGTAATTTCGTTTCAAAATATTGGTCCCTGGAATTCTGGCTGCAGAAGTCCAGGGGTCATTTGCAGTTGCCGTAAGCTAGTAGGATGGCAGGTGTGGTTGCAGCTTTTGCTGCCTTGGAAGTTTACAGGTGAACGGAGGGCACCTACATTTTTTCTCTTAAATACTACAACAGTTTATTTTTATGAGGACTACAATAATGAAGGCATAAGAGAAATGAAAAGTAGTGTTTCGGAACATTTTTGAAAACATCAAAATTATTTTTATTGTTTTCTTGACAAGCGTACGGGAAAAGTAACGTGAAACTATGTTGTAACGCAACGAGTAAAGTAATCTGTTAATTTTCAGCGAAAATAATTTGTAACGGCAATCCATTACATTTGAGACTCGGCCATTTGCAATTATAATCCATTATATTATTCAAGTAATAGGCACAAGCCTGCCCGTGCATTTCTCTAAGAAAGCCCTTAAAATCTGGGATCAAAATGGGCATGCAACATGCACATACAGCGAGAAGTTATTCACGACTTTCGAGTAACTCAGAGGTCAAAAATGGTTGCAACGGATGAGCAGAAGTCGCCGTTAATGCAGAGATACGAACGAATCGTGTGCCCGTCTGATTAAAATGAGAGGCACCTGGATTAAATTAGTGCCAACTGAGATTAAATTCCTCGGCACTCCAATTAAATTGGTGTACAGACACATTAAGTTTGGGGTTGCTCGGATTAAAAAAGCTGGCGCTCAGAAAAAACTTGTAGTGCGATGTCGTCGAGCAGGAATCAGGGGACCGAAAACGAGGACGCACTGAACACACTTTTCGGAGGTGGTTTCCAGGCATCGTCCACGGACGAAGGTCGAAGAAAACTCTCCGAGCTGTTTGACACGATCGGCAGAGGTACCGGAAATGGCTCTGAATATGGTGACCGACAGCTTAACCCCTTGCAGGTACAGTATTTTTCTTAATAGTAGATGTTTCCCAGTGGCCCGGTTTCACTTTCAAAGAAATAGCATAAAGAAAGGGTCGATGCACATATTTTTTCTTAATTATCTAGCAGGAGCACAAATGGTGCTTGTAAGCTGCTCAGGTTATGCAGCATCAAATGGAAATATTGAAGGCGAAAAGTTGTCGCCTTTCTTTCGTTCGGCTTAATTTTGGCACGTCCGCCTCCACGACATTCGGGTGGTTTGAGATACTTTAAGGAACTTCTGTACTGGATGGTAAGCTCTATTCTGAATTTAATAGTGAGAAACATTAAAAGTCTGAATAGGAAAAGCCGGCAATGCGATTACCGCTACTGCCAGAGCAGCCATCGTGCAAAGTGACCATCTCGCACATACAGTGCAACCCGTTTATAACAATACCAGATATAGAGTTTCTAGACTGGAAATGATCCGTTTCTATTCCAGATACAACGATAATCGGTTATAGCGATTAAAATTTCGGGTTTTCTCGTTCTCGTTATAGTGGGTTGCACTGTATCACTTGCGTGAAGAGTTTAATTTCAAAACTATAAATATTTCAGCAAAGCGAAACACCGTGCAAATACAATGTTTATAGTTCACCAAATGTGTAATCGCTGTTGTACACGTACGGCAGCGACCGTCAAGGGGTTAAAAAAACGCGGAATGTGGCCCAATACGTCCACGCTCGTCACTTTGCGATTCGTTCTTCGGTGATCTTGTTGGGAAACGCCACACACTCACTGGCTGCGAAGAGATAACAAGAGGCTCGGCCATGCCCCATGTTCCTATCAGGGATTATAAGAACTGTCCCAAAGTACGCACGTGGCCGCCGTTCGAGCCACACGCAACATCTCGTCTCTGCCGGAGAAATTGCAGGTGCCAGAGGAGCACGACTTTGCGGGACTTGCCTTCTGAGCCACGTCGAGCTTGCGGTCCTCCTCCTCCTTGAACTTTGTCCGCATCGGGATCAACTTCTGCTGCAGCGCCTCCGAACACAGCTCAAACATGTCCAGCTGCATCGTGAACTTGATGTCCTAGAGGCACAGAGATGCAAAGGGATGCCTCATTTCGCTAACTACGGTCGTTGGAGTAGTGGCCGTATGGCACGTGCACGGCATGAACGGTGAAGCTTGGTGCCCATCATTACTCCGTATCAGTAAAATGGAGTAAGGCACCGATGCCGTGTCTGTGTCGAGACTGTTGCACAGTGAACGGACCCGTCCCGGCTTTGCGTCTCTGTGCCAATGTAATCTTGCGATTCGTTTAGTGTCGAGGAGTTACCAAATAGCCTATGGAAGCCCTTTAACCACAGCTGTGCAACATTCAACCCATCGAGGTGGCTCGCAAATATGACAGAGAGATCTGGTATCGGGAAAACCGGAAAAACTGAAAAACTCACATATTTTAGGGTTTGGGATTGCATTTTGATGCAGGGTCAGCATAAACAGAGCCCCTTTAAAGAGTAGCACCTCGGTGGCCCATTTCTTGCGATGGGCCAACGAGCCGGTGCTCTGAGGTCTGGCAACAGTCCATTGTCTCGCCAATGTTTTGAAACTACCATATTTACTCGCATAACAAACACGCCCCACCAAAAGTAGTACCAATATTTGAACTTCCTTTTTCACTCGCATAATGCACGCGCTTCCCATTTTCGGCTTGCAAGTCTCGAATAGCGTCCAATTTAGCTAGCCACCAAGTCAGTTTTCTTTTGCCGCCAAGCAGTCAGCCCAAGTCAAACCAAGCCAGGCCGCTCTCGTAATGGCTGCAAGCGGCCACAAGTGCCTAGTTGCGGAAGTGATCAAATGTGAAACCGAGCGGCGTGCACACTTGACGAAGCTTGGGTCAAGGAATCGCCCAGCCCCGGACATTCTGCGCCTATCGGATGCATTGATGTGAACAAACACGCCACCGTCGTCTGTGGTCTGCTTTCGGACAGCGAGCGAAAGTAGTTAGACCTAAGAACGGTCGCGTAGTCCTTCGTGCTGAGTGAGCTTCGTAGGGTGCCTTTTTGTTCGGCAGACGGCACGCCAGAAGCGCCCTAAAAAAGGTTTGCAATTTATAGAACATGATTACTGTGGCGCGCCCGCGACCAGCCATCAGTCGAGATGTGCTACAGTACCCTGCCATGTCATATTGGCACCTAAAATGACATTTGAGCAAAGTGTATAAATGCCAAAATTTTACCTCCCATAACGAAGGCCCCCCCCCCCCCCCCCCCCTAAATAGGGGCCCCCCCCCCATTTTTAGGGCGGTTGGCCCCCCTAAATATGGGTCAATTTTGCGCCAAGCCAATACGGTACTTTTCACCCATAATGTCTGCTTGCACGTGGCCCCTGCTTGCAACTTTAGGGTGTAAGCTTCGAGACTGGGTGATGGAATGCCACCCTGCAAGGAGTGCAGCGATAAACAAGCCTAAAACGGAAGTTTAAATGCGCCAAAATGTTAACAAAATAAAAAAAAAATTTTTAGTATTAAATTGTTTTAATTTTACCACCCTAAGATGCTAATTGAACTCGTTCCTACGAACAAAGTTGGTTTACGCAGAACGTGCTTCCGCGGCATTAATCGAGGCTTGTAGTGGATGCTCTAGTTCTTTATAAATTTTTCCTCCGTTACAGCGTGTTATTTTATCGCAAACTTGTCCTTGTCAATGCAATGGTGGGCACGTCCTAGATTTCTTTCTTTCATTCCACGAACTGTTTGAACAGGAACGCTGCAATGCCGAACAGTTAGTACAGAGCAGCGTGGTAGAAACGAGTAGCTTTGTGTATACCTGCTAATTGGAGCAGTGGTAGAACGTCGAGCTGTAACGATCGTGGGGTCGTTGGATGCCAACCATTAAACGTGTTCCGCATTAAAAGAGAGTGGAAAGAGTGGACCGCCCACCTTGAGGATCTTGGCATTGACGGCCCCCTTCTCCTTGTAGAAGAAGCGGACAAACTGGATGGTCAAGTAGGCAGGCAGGCGGCTGATAGTGCTCTGCGAAAAAATGCGAACAAATAAAATACATAAAGCCCGAGAGGACTTTCGGAAAGGTCTCTTTACAAGAGACGCTTGAGTCGTATCGAACTCCACAAATGCTGCAAGGGTGGTCCAGAATAAACGATACCTACTTTGCTTACACGCATGATATACATATCCTTGTAGGTGCTTTAGTTTGAAATCATAAGTGCTATGTTTCGGTCACCAGTAAACCTTTTTGATAACCATTTTATGGGTTTGCTCGCGCTTAGGAGCTACTAAAGTTGGGAAAACATTCCGACGTAAACGCATCAATGAGGTACAAATATACATTAACTCGTTCGGAAAGGCTCACCATCTTTTTGTACTCGGCGTCTCTGCCCAGTGTTGGAGACATCTTCCTAATGGTTTCCAAGAGTCTCTGCAATCGTCGGAAGAGAAATAAATCTGTTCAGTTTCTTTTTGGCTACAAAAGTTGGGCTTCTTTTTGTGCATCGGTACTGCAAGCACTGGCAAAATTACTTTCCAGGGAAGTGCCCCAAAGATGGCACGGAAAAGCAGGAAAACACTCACGCTCTTGAGACCCGCATACATGTACTTGACATCTGCAGGAGCAAAGTGGACGTAAGGTTAGGCTGACGTCCACCAGGGGTCCCCACCCAACACCTCTTTGGTAACAACGCCATAGGGCTAGTTAAAACTGCAATTTGGGCAAGTTGGTGGTTCGCACTTCCGCCGTTACGGCACACAAAAGCAGATGCACGGTTTGCACTGGCACAAGAAAGGGACACTCGCGCAGTGCCGACAAACAACCATTTCTTAATTTGGTCGTTGCTCACTCTTCTCCTTTGACACATCAAGATACCATTCCAAATTTCTGTTACTGTCTTTTTGAACTTGTGACTAAGTTACAGAACTCCCGACAAGTTTGGGGGCGTTGGCAGTTTCTGTACGGTCCCAATTTTTTCTTTTCTTTTGTGGGTCTAAAAGCTTCCGACGATCTTATAAACAACGATTTCTCATAGATAGTACATACATTTGATCGTGCAAATACCAGGAAACCTTCGATCTAGCGAAATGCAGTTCCGGGGTCACCTCAAAGATGGCACCAGCGTGTTCTCTCATCATAAGCGATGACAAGAACTCGGTTCTAACCAAACGCGAGTGCGCGGAAGGGCTCACCTTGAGAGATGAAGCAGCTCAGCTGTAGAAAGTGCTCCGTGGTTTTCGTCTCCGGTTCATCCTCGGACTCTATGCACTTGAGCCTGGTTGCAGCTGGCGTTAAGGGACCTACACATTCAACCGATAGGACAACTCGTTTGGCCGATGGGACACACAGTGCTGGCTGTGCCCCTGGAAACCTTTCCTCAATCCTCTTTAGAGTGCGTACGAAACAAATGGGAGATAGGCAAGGGCACGGGAAATTCGGGCGGGACGAGGAACGGATCGAGTGCGCGGAGAGAAGCCCAGAACATACTCCGCGTGAAGTGTCAAAACGCAATCGTCGCACCGTCACTTCACTCCGACCTGGGAGTACGACAGGGGTGGATCCAAGGGGGGGCGACGGGGGCGGCCACCCCCCCCAAACATAGTCGACCCCCCCCCCCCCCCCCCCCTTCTCGGAGGGCAATCTGCCATGGGTGAACCCCCCGGTGCACAAGAAAGAATGGGAGAATAGTGTCTTTACAAATTTTCCGTCCCCCCCCCCCCCAAAACGAAGTTCTGGATCCGCCCCTGGAGTACAAGCAGCTACACTGGGCAGAGGCCAAAGGATGGGCTATGCTCGTGATAGATCAAGGTTCAAATCAACCGACCAAATAAACAAAGTGTTGTCCTCCCAGGGTCCAATTTTGGTCACCGCGAGAGTGAGATGTAATTTGCATCTTGAGAAGCGACATAAGATAGCATTCGTAACTGTCTCTTAACGCGAGCGAAGTACTCGGTTTGTTCGCTACGGAGTGTCGCTTGTGGGAAAAAATTAAACGAGGAAACGCCGTACGTTGTCTGCAAACAGACCCGAAAGAAAGTTTATCGTCCGCTACAAACTGAGCGCCGCAGCGAGGCAAGATTTAATGTGGGCTAAAATTGTAATTGTCCGCTATATCCCGTCGGAAGCCATTCTTGAGTGGCGCTTTGATTGAAAATCTTGAGTTGTTATGCCGCCGTACATAAGCTGACGTCAACTGGTGGATGAAGGAGTATGAAGGACAAGTACATCGGAGGTTACTCAAAACCTCTCCCTCTATTCGTAGGTTGGTAAGACGTTCACACCCCAATATAGCCCCGTTACGAACGCGCGAATGGGTAAAAAATGTCTCCTTGGTCAATTACACGCAAGCTGTGGCACCACATCCCATCGGCAGCGCACAATGTTCTCGCTTTCACCTTGACCAAAATAGTAGCCCCAATGCGGGGGCCCCCTTGACGGAATGACTGACGCTTTTAAAAGTGCGTTCCGAGGGCAAAGCTGCCCCCGAAAGGATACGTGACGTCGAAGATGCCGCCGAAATACTGATCCACGAAGTTGGAATACTTGGTCGGCTGGGCGGCCGTCGTTTCCGTGGCCGCCTGGTCTCCCGCCGGCAGCTTCTGTTGCAGCATTCGCACCATCTCCGTCCAGCACTCGTTGGCGTCCTGCGGACACAGACGACAAACGTCCGTTCATTGGCTAATCCGGACTGTGAGAGCTTACATTAGCCAATGTGAATAGGCCACACGCAATATTACTGTCAGCCATCATGCCGTGCCATTCGGAGCAGCTGCATTGGGGGGCTTTTGCTATCTTCCGCTCGTGGACGGGGTATATCTGCATTCGACTTGGTTTGTGTGACATTAGGACAGTGTTGTCACACATTTAATGGGTTGCTATAGTCTTTCGTTTCGGTGCAACGAAGGAAAGAAAGACTGCCGCAAGATCATGGAAAAGGGATGGCCAGCAACGAGGTTGCGATACTTATTACTGAAGAAATCAACTGGCCCATCTAGATGAGTGAACGGTCTCTATCGAAAAACCTGCGTATAAGGTTTGAACTGGACTGACAGCACGTGACACTATTTTAGACCTACGACTCCCACTTTGCCGGTAGTCATAGACCTCTCGTGGAATCACTATCGGTGCTGGGGTCCTCCAAAATGGTGGAAACTTGACAACTGATTGTAGGTATTATACTAAATGGCGCCTCTTTCTGCATAATCGACGCCAATGTTGTACTTGATCATTGGGGTGCCCAGTCTCGCAAAGGCAGCCACTCTAAACTCTAACAATACTGAGCAGATCAGAGTCAGTCTTATTAGCCGAGCAAATTGTAATTTTCATGCAACCATATTAGAGAACGTTGTTACAAGTGCAGCTAAGCTAAGGGTATTGTCACTACAGATGCAAACCATTGCTGGAAACCTACCTTCCCACTTTTCTACAACCGCGTAATAAACTTCTTGCGAGAATGACAATTTTAATGGATATGTTCACCTAATCATAATCGCAACCCTTTTACGGGTAACATACCTGCAGGCTGAGCTCTCTTTAGATTAGCGATTCGGCACTGCTATCGGCAGTGCTGTTATGGTTGTGGAAATTACTCCGCCGTGGATATGACACTGCTGGGAGAAACAGCCGTTATGGCTGTGGATGCGGCTCTGCCGTAGACACTGCTGTTATGGCTCTGGATACCGTCATTACGGCTGTTAGGGACAACATAACTATGGACGACCATGTCCGGGCGGCCTCTAGGAGCGCGGCTCGGTGACAAACAATATTGTTCGGGTCGTTCGTTACCGACATAATCGGGTGCCATCGGCGAACAGAAGAAGCGTGGGTAGATGAGCACCTGTTGCGTGAACCCTCCGTGCTCGGACTTCTCGGAGAAGCGCGGGAAGGCCATGTGGAGGACTTGCAGCATCACGATCGGCGGCACCACTGCCGACCGATCCATGACGCCGTAGAGGTCGCGGAGGGCGGCCGTCACCGACTGGGCACCCACACCGCTCGTCCGAGACAAGTACAGCTCTCCTTGGAACCTGGGTGCACACGGCGTGAGCAACTGCACTACGCAAGAAAGTTGGTGCAGACTCACTTTGCCAGTGCCTCCTTGAGCTCCGGCACGGTGCGGAGACACTGCACTGTGGCGTTCATGTAGCATGTGTTGCCCAGGTTTGTTAGGCCCGACGGCAGGTCCAGCTGGGGACAGATCGGAGGTCACAGCGTGCACACTTGAAGGCTGCTTCACACACTTGCGTTTACTTACGACCAAGTGTGACCTCTTCAGACAAGAGAACACGCTGGCACCGTCTATCGCGTAAAACACTTAACAGCTCTGCATATTTTTTTTTTTTTGTGCGTCACTTTGTTTTTTGTTGGTTCGAAAAACTTTTGACAAGATCATAAACGACCATTTCTGATATCTGCATTCGATCTCGCGAATACTGCCAAACCTTCACTCTAGTAAAATGCAGTTCCAAGGGCACCGTCTATCCGGTAAAACACTTAACAACTCTGTAGTGTTCCCAAAATCAATTTTTCTACTGGGTTCACGTGAGGAAAACCTTAGGGTATGTTACGGAACACAGAAAATTTCAGGTTGATACGCTACCTAAATCAAGTTGGAAACAATCTTTGGAATATTTATTTACTTACAAAATGTTTGTAAGACATTTTCCAACATTCAGGTATTCGAACGACAGGCCGCCATATTTTGTTAGTGGACTGCATCGCAGAAATAGTCGCGTGCGGCTTTAGGCAGGATTGCATATGTCGTTATGGTGCGAGAGCTGCCGAAGTTACGGAACCCTACGCGGGTAAGCAACCATCTCTGCACTTTCAAAGCAGGGTCATGCGAGGTTTCTTACAGCGGTGGCGAGTTCGCTCTCAGACATGTCCTCCATGAAGACGGGTTTCTCCGCGGGCTCCGACGGCAACGCCTCCTTGCTCCCCATCAGCAAAACCACGGCACCCTGAAACGCGCAAGGACGTGTTGGCCGTGCTGAAGGGCTCCAACCGCGACGACTCCTCCGGACTTACGTCTTTCAGCTTGATGTTGCCCCAGTCGTTGTCCTGTAAGGGAGCCGAGAAAGCGAACAGGTTGGTCGTTCATATCTGGACGGCGGACATTCGTGCCAGGATGCACGAGCGTGCATTCTCGAGGGACGCCTGGAATGCGTCTCCGTTTGGTGCGTTTAGCGCGTTCTCAAATGTTGTCCCTCAATCCCCGCCTGATTAAAGCTACAGAAGCGTCACGCTATTGCCCGGTGAATACGGCAGACGACTGTTCTGCCGCAGGCTGCTGACTGGCTCGACATTCTACGGAAGTTTCTGCAGCCACGAGTAGGGACGCCGCGACGACGGTGACACCCGCGCTCGCTCATGCCTTTTGCCAGAATTTTCAGGACCGACCGCTAGGGTCGCGACGTCCGACACCATGACATGACGGTTTCTGTGATATTGCTTGCTGCCATTTTGGGACCGCTTTTGACGCATGGGCGGTGTAAAACGCTGAACGCACCAGTCGGAAACGATGTTCAGGCATTGCTGCGAAACTGAAATGGTCTCGGTGACGAGACCACGTCGGTTACTGCATGCAGAGATGGCAGTCCCGAGGAGTTAGCGGGGGTACCTTGAGTACAGCCCCCTTGACCATGACCTTCTGCCGGTCCGGCTGGACCCCCGTGAGTGCGAACAGCTGGGCCTTGAACACCATGGGCTCCTCCAGGGTGTCCACTTCCACATCCGAGAACGTCTCCTTGCCCCACTTGACCTTCACTGTCCGGAAAAGGAGGGAAGGCTGAGGGTCGGATTGGAGGACGCACCTCCTAGATGATGCTGTTTATTTTCCATTTGTATGAAAGGTCGGGAATGAGGAAAGAATGCTTCAAAATGAAGCTCGACAAGTTTTCTAACTCATGGGCACGGGTTGCACGACGGATGACTACAAAAAAGATGTGCGCGAAAACTGTACACCCTGATATCACGTCGCTGCGGCGGCGCGGTTGTTGGCATGGCACATGCATAGATGCCTCACTTGATGCGGTTTCTGTGCATGCACAGGCTTGTTTGTGAGGAGAGTGTCGGTCTATAGAGCAATTAAAATAAATGTTGAAAATGAACGCTGGTACCAGAACAACCACTACGGCACGTATGTTAGAAATGGTCAGTTTTGTAAAAGCTTGAAACAAAAATCTTTTGTAGAAGTTGCGCCTAGATCCATGTTACTGTTGCTAAAGTGTTTTAAAAGCCAAGGATGTCGAAGCATTTGAAGGGTGCCAAAAACAACAAATCATATAAAGTTGCAACTATTCAGATAGCCCAGTCGTAATAACAGTACGGGTCATTGATCAACTATCATAGTGCGAACACGGCAAAGTGAGACTTTAGAGTAACGCGATTTTATGAATCAACTAATTAAATAAAAATAAAGAGAAAACCTCAGAAAAGCGCCCTAACGGTATTGCAACATCCTGCCATGATTCAGCAGGCTTTCTCCGTCTACCAAAGGGTGGCTCGCTGGTTATTTTCGCCTTTCTATCAGGCAGTTAGCTACGATCTGGCCTTTTCAGCTTGTCCGTTTTCTAGGAGCTCACAGATCGACCGAGTTGTGGAGATCGTGTTATGCGGACTTTGAAACCTAGGTTACCATACTCGCGGGGGAAAAAAAAAAGCAGCTCCCTTGGCGTTCGAAAGAGGGACGAGAGAGCGATCGGGAGGGTGATGAAAAATGCCCTCACCTTTGAACATATTTGTGAGACTGGCTTGGCCGCTGCTGCAAGAGACGGGGAGAACACTTTACCGCTGGCTTTCAAAACTCCCCAGTCATGTAGCCTCGGCGAACGGCCGGCGAATGTTATCTGCGGTTTTGCGAACAGAGCAGCTTAATCGAGAGGACCACTGCACAGGCGCGCGATGATAGTTTACCTGAAGCCGGCGAAAATGAAGGGAATTCGTCGATTTCAGGAAAGAAAGACTTCAAAGAGCGCAACGATGCCCGGAGAACTCCACATACACCGCAAACTTCAATCGTGTGTTTCAATCAGAAAAGCGGCTTGCCGCAGTCCCGCAGTGTCGTAGGTCGTATTTGCTCTCTTACTTTCCGAGGTAAACATGGTTCCAATAACTAAACTGAATAGTGTACACTCAATAAAGTGTATTTATTTTAATATTTTGGGAACGACTTTAAGGAAAGTATTAGAAATCTTTTTGTTTTTTTCTAACATTTTTTGTTGCAACGCATGGCAGTAAACATCAAGGCAAAAATAAATAGACAAATGAGACAAATAAATAGTAACAAATTTTATTGAATTAGGTGGTGACATGCGCTACCTAGCTAGTGTTGGATTTTGACCGTTAATATATAAACATGTATATAATAAAGGTAAATCAAATTTTTTTATTAGTTCAAATTATAAAAAACAACTTAAAGCTTATATGCCACTGGCTGGACGAAATTTGTTTTTCTCCGCTTGAATTACCAAACGAAGTAAGTTTTATAGCCAAACATAGACACATCCGAAGCTATTTTTGAAAGCGTCATTGGCGTCATCTATCGGCGCCTTTTGAAGAGTGACAGCAGCACGTATGTGCCAGTGTATCGCTTGTTTCGCTCGCTTGTTTCTTCACTTTGCACTGTGCACTGCCGACTGCCGTCCCGGAGCGTAGCTGTTGTCGCAGGAATACTCTTCACCTGTTCGCTTCGGTAAGGTGAGTAAAAACGTTTGCTCATTTCGAGATGATAAGACTGTGAGATCGCGAGCTAGCAGTGACTTTTTCTCGAGTTGGCTTTGACAAGTCCGGCAGGATGCCACAAGGCCACATACTCCTCGATCACAGCGCGAGACATCGCGATAAAAACAAGAATGAAGAAACGAAAAAGTCCTTGAACTCTTTTCGGCAATAATTCAGCGGTACATACTGAGACGTAATCATTTTCAAGATTCAGATACTTCAACAACCGGTCGTCTGGCTTCTTGTCGGCGGGACCACCGAAGTCAGCGACCCAAACGAAGCTTGTTTTGTGCCCGTTTGTTTTTATTTTAAAATTCGTAGAGGCGCTTTCGAAACCAGCCGCATGTATCCACACTCAACGAGCGTGACACTTGGACAACTCTCTGTTACGTGTCCGTTTTGCTCCTCGGCCCATGAAAAGGCCCGTGTACTACGTGCGGCGAATTCTCAAGAGGACCTGTTGCGCTCAAACGTCCCGAGGGAGTTTTTGTTTTGTTTCGAAGCGCTTCAAGTTTTCGGTCGCGCTTGTTTCGTGCGTATCTGCGGAGCGAGCGAAGCCGAGGCTGCAAGCGCGAGGCGTTTGCTTTAAAGTGCTTTAGTAACTACCCAGAACATGATATGGACCCCGCAGGTTCACAGTAACAAACAATAACAATGTGAAAATAAATAAATAAGTCAACAGTTGGCATAGGATATTGGGCCGCTTACAAAAGAGCAGGGTAAAAAGACGTTTCCTCACTTTTTTTTTTAATGATTTTTGGCAAAATTACGGATCCCCAGATAGTCTATATTACTCTTCAGCATTTCGCCGTGGCGTGCCAGATGCCCTTCGATCTATGGTATGACATCGAAAATTTACGTATCAAATCGCACTGCTCTAGCATTATTTTGTTTCAGTACAATGAAGAGTTTTCTCATAAAAACTTCTGCAACGTTCTTTTTTTAAATTAAACTTAACAAGCTCTCTCTTTTTTTTTTTTCTTTTTTTTCTGAGGGGGGGGGGGGGGGGGGGGGGTTGCTTTCTGGATGAGCTCCAAAACGGTAGAAGTCTACAAGACACCTTATTCGTAATTAGCACACCACATTTATGTTTATTTTTTATTTTTTACATTGAGGGTATTGTACGATATAATGCGGGAGAGGAAAAAGCTCAGAGCCGAGCTGAAAGTGTATTATTTAGATGGGTGTTTGATTAGATTTTAAAACATGTCCGCGCAAATAATAGGGGTTTTGTAACACGGGAAGGGCGGACAACTGCAATAGAAAGATGGCATTGTCAGCCCTGCTCTTCGTAGTACACAAAATGGGGGGGGGGGGGGGGGGGGGGGGGGGGGGGGGGGGAGATTATAAGCGCCGTGCAATTTAGGTTTTGATGTGACTTAGAGGAGGGAGAAAAGTAATTCAAGTGCAGGCTGTCCTCGGAACAAATATGCACAGTTTTTACATCGCAAAAACAAGCTACGCATTGCTATGTTGAATTAACCTGAGACTGGGGTAGAAAAGAAACATCAAAACGTAGAAGGCACAGAAAATAGACAGGACGACGTCTCACGTCTCTATTTTCTGTCCCTTCTACGTTTTTGACGTTTCTTCTCTACCCCAGTCTCAGGTTAAATCAACATGGTTAATATTCACCAGCTCGCCTGTACCCTTACGATTTTTTCTACGCATTGCTGAACGCCCAGTCTTCGGCAAAATGTAGCGCTGTTCACGATAACTTGGCGAACGGAACGGAGGCGTACTGGAGTTGCTAATGAGAGACAGGGCTGGGAAAGAGTGAGGGAAAACTGCTGAGAACACGTGTGGTTACAATGCAGTATTAGAGGTTTAGACACGTTCGTGGGATTTGTTTATCTTAAAACGGGGACTGATTCGAAAGAGGAAAATGCGCAGCACTTGACGTGTACTTCCAAAGATGTTGGAGAAATTGGCTTATATCGGGAAATGATTACCTTGGGAGACACGTATGCACACTTCGACGGATATACAGATTCAACACGGAAGATGCTATTAGAATTTTGTGACGCTTTTAGGCCAAGAAAAATGCGATGGAAAAATAACGCGCGAGAGAAACAATTCGCACTCAATAATTGATTGTTGTCTAATGTCTAGCAAATTGTATACCAAATTAGGACACATGCAAATATATTAGGAAGGCACGAAAATCTTGGGAAGTGATGATAAGCAAATTAAAATAAGATTGGTCCAGCAGGACCAGAGTCACAAATTCTTGAATGAGAAGGTAGATGGACCCTAAACGACGACCAACTGCAAGAAGTATTAGAACAAATTGAGACTGTAATATCCAGAGAAAAAATGTACATACGACGGTTTAGTAAACACCTTTAAAAGAGAGTTAGAGAAGTTCAAAATCAAACCAAAGAGGAAATAGGAGAAGAAAACACACACCGAAAGGCTGGTGGGACAGAGAAGTTGAGGCGGTCATAGCAGGTCGACAACAGGCCTAAAGGGAACACAGATAGGCGGAGAAAAACGGGGACACGCCCGCTGAAGTAGCATCGAAACGGGATACATTTCAGGAAAGGAAAAGAAAGGCATCTGCTCTAATCCACGCCAAGATCGGTAGAGCTGGAGTGCAGTGGATGATAAAGGTAAATCAAAACGATAGGAATGCAGACAAGAGGTTCTGGGAGCACATTAACGCGCAGGGGTGGAGGACAGAAGGGTTCCATCGTTCATTGACCACACACGAGGGGACAAGTGAAGAGGGCGAGGATGCGAGGGAATTCATTAGACGAACAATCGAGGGCAACATTCGCAGAACTTTTGAACCGATCGAGATTGGGCAGAACACAGCCAGCAACACGGCACAAGACGAGAACATTAACGAGACGACTGAGAGGACCACGGGAGAATGGGACAAAGCAGAGAGTAAAGCACCTTTCTCCCCTTTATCAGAGTGAACTCTGGAGAGGAGACGATCTGCTCTCCAGCATTTGCTGGGGAGGATATTACACAATTTTCCATTAGGTGCGCAGTCATCTCCGCTTCGGTGATTTCTCTGATCAGGCCATTGCCGCTTCTACCAATGACTAAACTTCTTTTTTTTTTTTTTTTTTTGCATTACATTTAGAGTCACGACAATGAACGCCCAAGTGTCCTGATACCACCCTGTTTACATTGTAATAGTGTTCAGGCATCTGCCAGTCTGCCCTGTGCCCACAGGAAAGCGGAATGGAATAAACAACTTTTTCTGTGCATCCTGCATCCAACAAATCGATTGTGATGTAAGATTTCTTTAATATTGACATTTCTGCAAAGCTTAGATAACTTGTTAGGGGGCAGAAAAGACAACAGTGACGTCTACTTGCTTTTCTATTTTCTTTAAGCTATGGGAGACTCTATGTAAATACGGAACCACAGCGATTTTGTTTCTTCTTTATTTGGAAACGTCTACCGCATCTACACCGCCTTCTATTTTATTTTCTTCAATAAAGTGCCGCGACCGACGTCAGTAGGTGTTTCGGATACCCCGCTATCCGAAGGCGGGAAACCTGAGCGCCAAAGCTAACTCGTGCTCGATGGGAACAGGATTTCTTTAAAACGTTCGTGAAGCACAGATTCACGATGCCCCCTTTTTCCCAATTTGGAATGGGCAGGATAAAAGTGGCTTTAGTCCACGGGGCTCGTTTCGACGCAACAGTGAAAGAAAATACGTTAACATACAAAACGTCGTGTTCATACGACTCAACATCCCTCTGTTTATCAATCACGTTTATTTTACCTGAATCAAAATTTTTAACCATATATAACAATAAATATATTTGAAGTTGTTGGTACATACGTGTAAATAGACTAGCTTGAACTTTAGAACTATATACTGTCCTTTCTTTCTTCGTGTTTAAGTGTTGTTTTAAAGTTTAAGCGGATCTATTTACACGGTATCAAAATATTGTCGCGAAGTGCTGTAGGTCGCATAAAATACCCGTGATTGGTGAAACTTGGCGTCGCAGTATTAAAAGTTAAATTGTGGTTGTGTCCTTGAACTAAGGAATTAGTTACAGCGCATAAAATCATGAAATGGGCACCCCATGCATTTGTGACCGGAGTTGGAACCTCCGGGCGTTCGCCGCTAGTCGGCGAGAGGCGGCGTTCTAGATTGTGCTACTCTTTCTTTTTCACTGGATTGTGCTACTTTTTTTTTTTTTCATTTAAATGTGAAATCTATTTAGATTTTACGTTTACATATTCTATGCTTAAATGGTAAAACAAAATGGCTAGGTGGCGTAAGCTACCGCCCGATCCAATTCATCCATCCATCCATCCTCTGCTTCGAAGGTGTATATAGTGCTCCATCTCCCGTCTGCCTGGAGAAGGAGAAAAACTCCTTCCTCCCTTTTTATCGCGTCCGCTTGGGGGCGCGTCAGTAGAAGGGAGGAAGACGCGCCGTTGATACTTTTTTTCCTCCCTTTTATCTTAAGAGTGTTGGGCTCTTATAGGTCATGTTCAAATAAAAACCTCGGTTAGTACAAATACCCTCTCAGGGTAGGCTCCTCCCAACTCTTTCCTTTTTAGCAGAGCGAACCCTGTAGAGGAACTGTAGGAGCGTATGCACTTGGGCTAGTTGGTGATCCATGTTTGTGAGGGTAAAGGCGCGAGGGTAAAGTGTGAGGTAAAGTGTGAGGGTAAAGGCGAACTCCTGTAGAGGAGTTCGCGTCCTCTTTAGCCTTCGCTCTATTAAAATGGTAAGATGTGGTTGAAGCTTCCCGTGAACTCTCTTCACATCGGAGGTAGTTCCTGCCTTTCGCCGCAGCTCGATGAATCCGCGCCTAGAGCGTTTTAGCTTCTTCAGAGGAGGAACCTCAACTTCTCCATGTGAACCTCTTAGCTCCGGGATCGAGGTGGAGAAATTTCCCCACTATTTATGACCATAGGGCATGAGGCGCCGCACGCCTGTAGAAACATTGTAAAAGAACATAAAGATAAAATACTACAAACAAGCAACGCCATTACAT